ACACACACACACACACACACACACACACACACACACACTACACACACACACACACACACACACACACACACTACACACACACACACATATATATATATATATATATATATATATATATACAATCACCGAGTGTTCATTGGGTGCGTGTTGCGTCACCAGTGCTAAGTGCTATTGAATGCGTGAGGGCCTGCAGTGTGCTGCAGAACTCAATGTATGGGGCAGTGTGAGAGCGTAAGCGTTGAAATAATTCGCCATACGACGTAGATGACAGCTGTACTTACCATGAGCTATACACACCATGAGCTGTACAACAGCGCACGCGCATGAGTTGTATCAGTTGTACGCATCACATCTCATTAAGCGAGACATTTGGGATGTTAAACGATCTGTGATGGGTTTGCTCTGGTTGTAGATTCCAACCGGTAGTTGTGGACATTTTGGAGCTCGTACCCCGCGACCATAGCTGTCGCGTCAATGGTAAAGAACTGCAATTAGTCAGGCGAGCATGTCATTACGCAACAGAACTCTTGTTAAATCGGTATATTGTTGACGTGCCATTGCATTTCCGATATAGCGCTTTAAAACCCTAAACCCTATAACCCTAAAATCAAAACCCTAAACCCTAAGAGAGAGAGAGATGAACACATCCTCAGGCCTTGGTTTATGATTTAGGTGTTCAAATCCTCAAAACCCAGTAGCGCCAGGCGTTGAACATGCCGAACTGCTGTGTAGTTAGTAACAAGCCGAACACATGTCCTAAACCCTACACTCCGCAAACCCTAGAGCAGCGCTTTCAATTTGACCCGTTTGCCCCGCAAATATCTTGTGCAGGAATACATGAGCACCACAAAATACTCGATGACTTAGGCGATGAAATGGTAGTCATCAACCAGGCGTACACACGGCTGTGGCCAGCGGCTCAACGCGATTGCACTTACCTCACTAGCAGGCGGAGGGTCGACGACACAGGTGTGCATGGTGTATGGTACACGGTACAGCCCCACTTTTGTATCGTTCAAGGTACTGGACTGGTATTGTTAGTTGTATGTCCTCACTTTTGTTATCGCTAAAGATGCAGGGATTGCATTGACGTTGGTCATGGTCTGCTGTATTTCGTTACTACTGGGTCGCTCATGATACAGGATTTGCATAGTCTTCGATCCTGATGTGTTATACTTTGCCACTGTTGTATTGCTGGAAATACCTGCTGTTTAGTGTCGCTTTGGTACTACTAGAGAGCCTATTCTTGCATTCATAAAGCCCAAAGCTTAAAACCTATACATTATTTCACGATGATATAAATCTTCTCGTTACGTCAGCTGCAAGTTTTTAATGCCAAATGTCGCATCATAAGAGTTGTTTCCCACTGGTTCTGTCTATTTGCACCTCTATATGTACGCCAACAGACCTTGTGTCCTCAGCTATAACTATTTACACAATACTGTGACTAAAGTATCTACCATTGCACTGGCTAAGACTAAAGGATGCGCTTCGCAATTGGTACCACATTACTTATGTGCCACATCCTCAGCACTACATGGGTCGTGGTATGATAGAATAGATATAGTGGGGAGGAAGCGAACTGTGTTTCATACACTGCTAATATAATCCATCTAAGGCGCTTGTGTGCGGATCGCCTATCTCCGACTACATCCGTAGATATGTATGCCGTGATCAACTACAGGGTCAACCATTCTGTTTCATACACTGCCAATATAATCCATCTATGGCGTTTGTGTGCTGATCACCTGTCTCCGGCTACTTCCGTAGATATATATGCCGTGATCAACTACAGTGTCAACCATCCTGACGACCACATCCCCGCCTCCTTTGTGCGCGCCAGTGCGGAGGTGGGTATGGTGTGCGAGAGTGTTATAAGGCCGCAATGCACCGAAACCTCGCTAGACGCACTCACGCGGCAAGACATCCAAACAAAGATATACTACCAGGCCAAGATCAGGTAGGTATGCACAGGTATAGATATACTACCAGACCAAGATCAGGTAACTATGCACAGGTATAGATATACTACCAGGTCAAGATCAGGTAGCTATGCACAGGTATAGATATACTACCATGCCAAGATCAGGTAGGTATGCACAGGTATAAGAGCTCATGTGCATGGCCCTGTGAGCAAGGCAAGGGCGCAGTGATCGATACTTGTGCCGGCGAAACCATGCACAGGCTTACGCTCTTCAGAGTATTATTCTGCGGTTTCTCATTAGAAATCCTGTCGTTGAATCATCCACACCTTTTGTCTCCAATTGCGATGAGGACAGTCACAAACGATCCTTTGCTTTGACCTACAGTCGTTTGTCTTTGACTGCTGTGACCACACATTAAACCGATTCTTCTTTGCTTGACCTATAGTCTTTTGTCTTTGACTGCCGTGACCACACATTAAACCGATTCATCTTTGCTTGACCCACAGTCTTTTGAATTTGACTGATGTGACCACACATTAAACTGATTCTTCTTTGCTTGACTTATAGTCTTTTGTCTTTGACTGCCGTGACCACACATTAAACCGATTCATCTTTGCTTGACCTACAGTCTTTTGAATTTGACTGCTGTGACCACACATTATCCTGATTCTTCTTTGCTTGACCTACAGTCTTTTGTCTTTGACTGCTGTGACCACACATTAAACCGATTCTTCTTTGCTTGACCTACAGTCCGGGTGGCTGGGTGCCGGCGGCAGTCGTTCGCGAGACGTCAAAGAGAGAATATCCAAAGTTCCTACATCAATTGGGAAAAGGCTGTACCGTAAGTACTTTCTGCTGCATTCTCATACCTCGTCATGCCCTTCCTCGCCTTTGCTTCCGGCTCGTCCTCAGCCTGATTTGTTGGAATACATATTGACTGCATCCAATAATACTTCGAATGGAGTCATCAGTTGCAGACGTACACTCGCGCGGTCACTACTGCCCACTGCACACTTGATACCAGATACTTAACCGTAGCAATCTCTATCTTACAGGAGCACTTCAGCGATCGGCCGTTAGACTGCTCCACTGTCAAGAAAGCCTTTGAATCAAGACCGCCTCCAGCCGAGTGATTCTGACCAGTAGAATATAAAGAAAACATGCTAGAGTAGATGTGACGTATTGTAGTCGGCGTGACAGTGTACTAGCGAAGGAATAGGTCTGAGCAGTGGATGCAACTCACTCCTGTGAATATGCTATTGGCTAGTGGGGTTTGCGGGGTTGGCGTGAATAGCATTATACTTCATATATCAATCAGCGCGAGCCTAGACTTCGTTACTACCACAGACTTCTTCTGGAATTACAGAGAGCCGCACTAGTCGGTCTATAAACCATGATTATTGTGAGACAGAGGTGACAAATTCGAAATACGTATTCGTGACTGCTTACTACTCCACGTTGACTAAGAAGTCTTACCCATGTGCATATTCCGGCTGCGGCAAGCGTTTCAGCCAAGCGACTCATCGAACAATTCACCAGTGTCTGCACAGTGTTGGAGCCCATATGCGTATGAATTATTTCCAGGCTGCGACATAGAGTTTTACTTCCTCCACACATATGTCATACCACCGGCGATCGCACGATAGAGAGTGGCAATGCAGATGGGAATGACCTGGCTGTACCTTCAGGGCTAATCAGATATCTGTTTCCAAACAGCACAAGTGCACACGCACCGACGAGCGTATCGTATGCTGATTCGGTGGATGCGATAAGCACTTCTCGTCATCCAGAGGTGTGACAAAGCACATGTTGCGATTTCATACATGCCCATCTGAGGTGTTTTTTGGTGTGGGGGAGGGTGACTAGGGATCACTGCTATCTGGACCAATAAGCAATACCGATTGATTACAGCTAATACCTCTGCTACGAATGGCAGTATTCAATTGCTGAATTAAAAAGGTGTAGGTATGCGCTTTATGATCCAGATCGCAGTTATCGGTGTCAGTAAGCAACATTGAACTTCTGCAGCTGACACATCTACAACGAGTGGCTAACGATATTTGGATGATTAAGGTACGCACAATAGAACTCGAAACTTATAGGTGTGCGCTTGTGGGGTCCAGATCGCAACTCTCTGTATGTATCAGCACACAGTGTTCAACTGCTTCAGCTAATACCTCTGCAACAGACTGCTAACGATTTGTTGGAGGGCTTGGGCACACACTGTACAACAAAATAAGAAATAACGTGTTGGGTTAATAGGCATGCACCAATATGGTCCAGATCGCAATATCGACCGCTATTACCTCTGCAACGAATGGCTATCCATATTTTGGATGGTCTTGGTACGCCATATAGAACTAAAACGTATAGAAGTTATACGGATTGGGCTAAGGTTGTTCGGTTCGCACCGATTAGAGTGTGATGTTCGTGGTTATCGACCAGTGCGTCATAGACTATTGATCTCATCTGATGTACTTTTAATGTGGTCTTTTTACTGTTACCAGAAATCTAAATCGTTGTGTCATTCAGGGTGACGACTTGCAATATCTGTATTATTACAAACAATTTGACCATAGCGTCACAGCTCTCTCTTGTAGTTGTGTAATAGCTAAAAAAAAAAGAACAAGCTTTGTCTTAGAAAAAGGTTGACCGGCAAACATTTCTACGACATGGTGATTGGAATTGTGAACTACTTGATCCAAACTTGATGGATTTCAGTTCCATTTTGGGTTCTACCGTCAGGTAGTCCTGCCCACATTCTGCAAATACCCACGTGTGTTGGAGTCGCAACTTAAAGGATACAATGAACGGTCATGGCGGTATATTCGTATGCAATTGCATTTGGCCTGTCAAACCCGTGTCCCTGAGCTCCTCCATATATCAGGTGATCAAATATGTTTTGTTTGGGTGGACGCCCCGCTACAGGGCGTACGCTACACTAGGTTGTAAGAGCTAGGTGATGTAGGTGTAAACGACGCTTTGCACGAGTTCGCCATTCAGAATACAAGCTTGCTCTGTCGCAATTGATTTCTCGCCTGTCAGCCCTCACGGCAGCTGATCATTTTTATGGCTACCCCACCCCACGCGACACTCCCGACCATTCTCAATGCACCAGTACTTCCATATCATCACGCTGAAAAGACATCTACCACGCATGACAGTGTGTGATATGGGCCCTGATATGAATCAAGTACAAGAACTGAACTTTCCGATCTAGATGGTCTATGATGTACCGTGAGTTGCGTGCGGCGTGCGGTGTAGTCCCATATATAGTTCGGTACTATTGCGCTAGATATGTGCTATAGCATCATGTGTCACTGTGCTCTGGCCTTCTTTTCGATGTTGTGCAATGCAGACGCACAGGCTACTGCTGCGTCACGAGTTGGAACATCAGCCTCAGCCTCGGCCACAGAATGCAGCCACTCCAAAATCTCTGTCAGATAAGGTGCCAGATCTGTAGATAGGAAATTGGACGTAGAATACGTTTACTAAATCCAGGTAAATTGTAAATTGGTGATTTATGTAAACATGGGTTTGATGTGGCGTGGCTTATTTGTATTTTCAGTTATGCAACCGTCATGAATCACGTGTCATGGTTTTAATTTGCATGGTATTTCAAGTGTGCATGATTGTGATAGTCTGGGCTTTGCATTGTATGAATCAACATGACACGTGCTGCGTGATAGTATTTTGACGCTGTTTCGGTCAGCACTATTGACCAGGTCGATCGGAGCTTGCCCATGAGGTAAATAGCGTTGTCAACCAATGTCATCACGAGTGATGATGCAGGCGAATATGTACCAAATACCGAATAAATACAGAACAAAACGACATGTCGACAACTTACCGACAAGCACCACTTCATGTGGTAGAGATGTTAGTATAGTCAGCAACGCATACAAGCTCGACCGTCGCACGGCTGTTTCAGTGTGGAATCGCACCGCGAATACGAAATCTATGAGAGCCGTTGCCATGGCAACAGCCTGGGGCGAGTTGGAGGCACATCGCATCATGGTGCCTAATGTGTTGAGCAGGGAAGATAGCAGCATGCCCTCGGCCTGTGGGCGAGCATGAGAACTTCGAGTGAGATCTTGTTCAGCTATGAGGAAAACTATCGACCGGCCATGATTGTTGTACACCATTGTCTGGCAGTACAAGTCTCTATGCATGTTCATTCAAAACTACTACTAGAATTGGGCTAAAGGGCATAATGATCCCAATGCAAAACAAATATGTAGCTCATAAAGACCAAATACAACTACCAAAATGTTGTATAAATAATTAACATAGGACCCTTGTGACCTTTCAATTGCCCTTAAACCGGTATTTCGCTTGAGAATCACTGAAAATTCTACTATATAGTTACCACCACTCTTAGACACCAAGTGGGTCAACAAAAAAAATGCTCGTAATAACCTTAACAACAGTCTACTTCCGATTTTTTCAATAAAAGCAGCACGAAGCACAGAAGTGAAAGATCGTCTGCCGGAGTTTTCTCAAACTAGTCGCAAATAAAGCCAAACTTATAAAGTGTATTGTGAACGAGATAAGAAATTCGGTAGATTGTCACATCACCTTGCCTATTCTTCAAAGTCCACCAGGTAGGGCTAGTAATCCGCACACGTAACTTCCAGCACATCTAGTACAAAAATACGATGCTATTCAGTTTATCAAACTGATCCTAACATACCTCACCAAGCCATCGAGCAGATTTCTCAGCATCATACTTTGACATAAGACCATAGAAGGAGAAATGAGCGACCTGATGTATATGACCAAAATTTGATTTAGATCTCAATAAATTCGGCAAACCTGTGTATACACTAATGTTAAACTTATGTACACACTGCTACTAAACTTGTGTTCACTAGTATTAAACTTATGCACAGACTGCTACTAAACTTGTATACACTAATATTAAACTTATGTACACACTGCTACTAAACCTTTGTATACATATACAAGACTCTCGCTTGCATATGACCAATCAGGTCCGTACTTGCATACTCCTGTGTCAATTTGATGGCACACATACAAAACGTGACATAAAAGAAAAGCACACACAACTATTGGTGTGTCTTCTCTGTGAGTACTGAAAGCATGTACACGTCGCATCGATTCGCTGTGATGAGGAGGTAACCTCACAATACAGCAAACAACTAACCGCTTATATGAGGCACCAGTATATTTGACCACGACGTAACAAAACAGGCCCAATTGCAACTACTGCATTGCAATGTGAAAGTAAAGTGCGATCTGGGTGTCTGTGTACCTTAGCAAACTTGTTGTACTGTCCCTCAACATAAGCAGCTTTCTTGAATCGGCGCTCCACAGGTTTTCGAGTTACAGGCTTCTTCAGCACAACCTCCTCTGAGGATTGGTGGGGAGTCATCAGTAATTTTGCGTTAGCCATGTGTGACTATACAGCGCACGCTTCAGATTAGAATACGATCATACTTGAAACATGCTCAGAGGGGAGTCTTATGTGGTGGCCGTCCGTGCAAAGAGATGTACTGAAAACAATGACGATATCTGTAGTCGTCTGTACACACCACACGTTGCCGTGCGCATGATGAGAGTGCACCACGGCGTGAACTGGCACGCAATAGCACACCCAAGCGAACAATCCATCGAGAGGCATCACAGCTGCTAGCATTGCCATTGCCCATGCGCGACACTCGTCAGCGACGAGTCAGTTTCCACCCGAATGTAATAATACGCACGAAATTTATAAGACAGACACAGAAGAACTTGACTCGTCTCAAATACAGGGACGGGTTGACTGGCTCAACAGGCTACCCACCTGTAGTATCTAACAATACATATTACAAGGACAAAAAAATGGGGTGGATATCGAACGTGTGCTACAAGCTAAAACACGATAGTCTCGAGTATGGTCTCATTAAACACACATAATACACTCGGTGGCAACACATTCCGCTAAAGCATCCATGGCCATCCCTCCATGACATCACACCGTAATGTAATAGCAGAGATGGTACAATTTATGCGAACAGAATCCTTCTACAGTAACAAGCGTGGGGCGGGAAATCCTTGTGTATGGGCATACTTGTCATGCTTGACAAGGATAGATGCGTGTTGTGTGAACCCATAAACTGCAATTGGTGTTACAATTCATCCGTGAAGATCGATAGTGACAATCAAATGACGTACTAATGAAGGGCAAGATCGTGTACTCAATGTTGGACAGTAGCCGTCTTGCATCCCATCTACTCGCACTGATACACTCACATCACCTGACTGTAAGCTATCATACGCCGCCACAATATATAACTATAACGCATATTCTCACGAGTTCACACATGTAGCGAACCACTACCAAGTTTTATTAACCTTCCGGATTTTTTTGTACCGAAATTTCAAACTGAGAAAGTCAATGGATTTTAAAATCCATTTATACCACTGCTACTAAATATACCAGAATAAGTGGAATCTAAAGTTCAATTGTCGGAATTATGTTTAATTTAATTGATATATAGTGTAACACAACTCATACCTACAAATCGTCTAATAGTGAGCATCATAAACTGTTATAAACGGCCATTGCATACAAGCTAACATTTTCCCAAATTTGACTATAGTAATTGTATTTTGAAATCCATTATCGTACCAAATTGATTTCAAACTGCAGAACATTCCGGAAGATTAACACATTGTACTTACACGCAATCAGGTGAACCTACCACTCTGCACTGTGTTGTCCCAGCTGTTCATATTATATCCGTCTTCTCCTCCACTCACAGTCACTTCAATACTACGGCCCCATGCACGCACACCCTCATTGAGCACAGCCCTGTCACTGGCTGCCAGTGGTACCAAGCGGCTGAATAACAAGACATGACAAGATACGCCAAGCAGATATGAGAGTCGAAAGTGAGGATACACACGTGTCAATCAACGCATACGCTCTATGAGCACTGCCCTGTCATCAGCTACGAGCGACTCCGAATGACTTGTATGATATATATATATATATATATATAATATATGTCACATAATTACACGCCTAATAAGAACAAAACGCAAGTTGAAGATACTGGTATACACCACAACATGTACACTCACAATTGTACAGCTGTCAGTGGCGATATACGGCTGAGAAACGTCACACGCCAAGAAAAACTGCGTACATGTTCATGGTTGTAATGGAATGATCGTTCCATATATATACATGGCAGCATACACAGCATACACACAGCCCCTTCTCCAGCTGCCGGGTTTACAACCCGGCTACTTGATGTATCACATAAAGCCAGTCACGTGGGAATGGAAGGTGACATGCGTTACTGAATGCAGGCCTGGGAGACACATGGCGCTACGCCATCAGAAGTTACCAAAAACATGACGCCATGGAGGACGTATACTCATGGATTTTAGGCCAATCGCCATGAAACTGAAGTGTATGCTATATTTAGTTGTTGAGAAGGGCTTTGTTGTACTTATATGTTGATATGCTTAGAATAAATCATGTTTCGTCATAGCAGTGATACTGTCTCAGCATTCGAGGCTCTTGCGACGGCTGTACCTTATTCTTGAACAATAGCACGTACTAATCTATACTTGGGAAAAATAAACTAGCATATGCTCGTGTATAGACATGTATACACGCGCGAGTGCACTGTGAACGATAGTTGGCACATACCTGCCAGGCGTGATGGGCTGTATACTCCTCCGCCCGTCGACCATTGCGTCCAGACTTACAGCGGACAATTGTACTGCAGCGGTCTCCAATACCTTGAGCACATCGAAGCGCTGAATCAAGTTGTAATTCTCGGTATAAAACTGCTCTGCGAGGTACTTGCCACTCACATCAGGCACTGCCGTTGCCATGGCAACCATCGCATCCATCCGTAACTTAGCATGGTTGGCGAGACCTGAAGGGTGGTTGGATAGAGAGTAAATCATGTTGCCCACGCGATGGATAGTGACAACAATCGGACGTCGATACATCAAATATATGTGTGCGTAGGGATCGCTGATGGGGACAATTGCGTAAAAAACAATTCATACCATTGAAAACACAAACGTTGCACAGGTCATATTGAAACGACACCATTCTGCACACGTGTAGTCTCACGGTCCACACAAAGGTTAGCCGTGGGAGCACGTTCGGATGTGCCATATATACTGCATATCATATCCCAGTAGAGAAGTTGGCCAAATCAACAGCATGGCACACAATGGGCATGACCGCACTGAAACTGGTATACGCTACATACAGGTTGAGCACAACACGCCCACAAAAAAAAATACCCACGCCATACTCGTGAATGCGAAGCCTTTCAGCCACGCAGACACGAGCACAAACAAATACACAGCAACACAGACACCCAAACACAAAAACACACAAGACTGCCGACACGCACAGTATGAAATACAGATCAATGCACATGCCCAGGTCATCGGCCAGATGCAGCAGAATGGTGAGCATGTCCTCACACACTTCTCGCACAAGCGTAGGATTGTGCGCCTGTGTCTGTGTTATTAGAACCGCAGCCACCTTCAACGACGCCGCAATACGCTGGTGAGGAGACAGGCAAATCGAGTTGAGGTGAGTAATTTGCAGAACATCACGTGGCTCTGAGTGGAATTAGCACGCGGCTGGAATTGTTGAGTAGGTAAGCTGCGATCTCGAAAGAGACAGTCGAAGATCATCCGAACTAATTAAGCTAAGATGACATGGCCGTAGATAAACGATACTATTGTACCTGTGGTAGAAAATGCTTTACAGATGCAAAGACGTGTGTATGACAACATGTTCAGAACAGTGACAAGTGCAAGTGCTCTATGTTGACTCAGACAGACTTTTAAGACAATAGTACATACTACACATCATTGTGCAAAAATACACAATATGCAATTCACGCATAACACTAGCCATTTCATATGATAACACTAGCCATTAACATCATAACACTAGCCATAATATCATAACACTAGACATAATATACTAACACTAGCCATTAATATCATAACACTAGCCATTAATATCAAAACACTAGCACTAGCCATTGATATCATAACACTAGCCATTAATATGATAAGTTGCAACGCAGACATTGCTAAGGACTTACGTTTGTACAACAGAATTGCTCAAAGAGCAAATACACACGGAACCCAACCCCGCTTACACATGCGGAACAACAAGTCTCTAATACTCATACGTCGAGTTTGTGGACATGTGTGTGCACCTGCCTACATACCCAGTCACGTACGTTCTTTAACCCAAATTAATCCTCACTATGGGCAACCACAGAGACACCAATGACATGGTGAGCATGCTTTAGACCACCAATATGCAGACGCCTGTAGGACTTAATACCCGTACAAATAAAACTTGTTCAACGCTAAAATACCTTTGCCTAAATAGTACACCCATAAACACTGTTAGAAGTAACGAGTGCACACACTAATCAATATAGGTTAAATTTCTAGATAAGCGAGTACAGAAACCACACCTGCACAGATGAAAAGAAACGCCAGCCAACTCATACCAGCTCCTTACAATCAGTACTAACAGGCGTCCAAAGCTCAACACCACAGTAAGCACTCGAGTACATCTCACAACTATATCCGCCGAAACACAGCTAGACACATCGACACAAACACACAACTAGGCACATCAACGCACACACCTGCGGCTCCTTGTCAGCCGATGCACGCAGACCCATAACACACGTGCGTAGGTACGGCGGTGCTTTGGGATCCTTCAGCGCTTCTGGGTCCGTTATGTACTCCTCCGTAGGTAAATCGTACGGGAGTAGCCCGTCGTCATCGCTGTCACTCTCACTATCACTTCCGCTGTCGGTGTCAGTGTCAGTGTCACTCCCCGATTCCCCGCCTGCCTCAAACAGAGGCTTGTCCAAGTCGTCTAGGTGTCTTTCATTTCTCCTGTGTCGAGGCTCTTCACTTTCGTGCACAATCTTCTCTTCCCCTTTCTTCCTATCTGCGTGCGTGTGTGTCTGTATCACCCTCTGGGAGTTCTGGGAGTTCTGTGAATCTCTTTCTAGTAGTTGTGTCTGTGACTGAGTCTGTGACTGAGTTTGTGAGTGCATTTGGTGTGTCTTGGAGTGCTCTGTGTGTTTTCCAGAACGATTTGTGTGCGGACTTGACAGTGTGCACGCGTACGTTTCCTCGCTCTCCTTAATATCGTATATCTGTGCTGCGTCCCATTGCGGCCACTCATCACCGCACGCAACAATCGCGAGAAGTTCGGTATCGTCTGAAGGGTGAATGTCGAATGCTAGGTCGTGTTGTGGTGTAAGCGTCTGCAAGCAAAAAAAAAGGCAAAAAAATGTCAAGACGTACGAAAGAAGGTACGATGAACGCTATTTTTCAAAATGAGACCAAGTATGGGTTAGTAGCAAGAAAGACTGCTGCTGTGGTTGTGATTTCTGGTCCACCTGTTTGGTCTTGAACGTAAACACAAGGTGTGTGCCGGCCTACTTGACCATGCGTCTCCAGTGCCGAATGCTCATGTGTTTCGGATTGATTTGATGAGATAGAGTAGATAGCATCCGGCCTACTTGACCATGCGTCTCCAGTGCCGAATGCTCATGTGTTTCGGATTGATTTGATGAGATAGAGTAGATAGCATCCCACTTAGAGGAATGGTAGGATCCATATCCACTATAGTACACTCCTTGTAGCCATGCCGCACACATTGTAATGTCAAGTGTGTCCATAAATTAATGGAGGGATGTGCAAAGTTTTAGAATACTGGACGCTAGCTATGTCACCTGTGAGTGGGCAGCATTAGTGACGAATGGTGGTGCTGTGATAAGAAGAGTGAATATAACTTCACAGTAAAAGGGTGCAGGTAGATGCATAAGAATAATGTGAAGGCACGTCAGATGGGCCATACAGTAACAAGGTAGCGTCATGCCATGGTTATTCAAATTAACGCTCATCACATATGCGCTCGACAAGCTCAAGTAACGACACACGCACTTGGAAGAGAACCATCTCGTTCAAACTTCAGCTGTGTTCATTTATAGTAGACGAATAAGGACCAACTTCATTTCATTTGTGATGTAAAAGAAACCAACCGATACATATACAACGTCATGGAGATACCCACCCACCCATACACCTTTGTCCAACTTAGACACCACACCTGCTGTATATGCATCGCCGCAGCCATGCCGAGCGAGCGCAGTTGTGTGATGGGAGTGTTGATATGGGCGTGGATAGCCCCCATGGTATTCGTGACTACGTCCAGTCTCTCGTCCTCGCTTAGCGGAAGAGTGGTCTTAAACTGAGCCATACAAGCTATGATAACCACCTGTAGCAAACAAAACGAGTTTCTCAATCGATTTGCGTGTGATTTTGCTCACCTTTCTGTGTGCATATACTTTCACACACTCTGTGATTCCTGTAGAGCTCGATATAAACATTTCTTTGTGAATCTGGGTAGTGTCATCGTTGCATGTGAGCAGACACGTTGTGTAGTATATACGGTTGCATCGCAGATAACCTTACTTGTCAACAAAATTTTCAAGTGTCGGTAGAAACTCGGTAATATGATATTCAAATTTTGTTCCAAACTAGTCGATTCATGCATCCCGAGTATGAAATTAATCTACATACTACAAGGTATCGATATAAAACCACTGAATATACTACGGGAAGAACATACACTTAGTGATGAACCCAATCAGCTATACACTATGAGAGGTTGTTAATCATGTCTATGATACGGCCGTAAAGAACCTATGTCAGGTGTTTGCAAGGACCGAGGAAGGCGTTCGCAAGAAGTAATGATACGTGTGCCTATGTGTTGCGCGAGTCATATGCACAATTTGTTCCGCACAATCGTTGTACTTGCGACATACCTGATGGGCCCTCAATAAATCGAGCAGTAGTGACATGCTTGATAAACAGGTGTCAGATGTCCAGTGTGGGCGTGTAACGATTCTGATGACTATCTAAGTATCAATCGATGCAGGCATTGTTCGTGCACTGAGCATGTATAGCTACCCTGGTGCACTCATAAGCCGCATACTTGTGGCACAATCGCTTACCGTTTGATAGAAGTGTTGGGTGTACGGTGTGTGGCGCATGGACACCTCATCGCCCCACACAGCCACCAGATTCGTCAACATCGGCACCACCGCATGTGGCACATACGCGCCCAACAACCTCACAATGCCCACCGCCACGCTGGGTGTGTACACGTGTCTCAGCACACACGTATTTGTCAGCAGATACGCACACCTTGGCCGTGTGAGATCTCTGACTCGCCCGCTCAGCAGCCGTTCTAGTACCGCATATGTGTGTGCAGGGGTGTTGTACAGATTGCACATCCCCCTGGTATTACTAAGGATTCTATGCACGATCCTGTCCATGACCATCTCGGGTATGCAGGCAACCAGCGCCTGCAACCCAAGTGTGTGCACATACGCCTCCCTCACTAACACATCGCACACGGTGTCGGTCTGAGCGGCACCTATACACAGCGATGAGATAATTGCCCCTACTACTGAGCTGTCGTAGTGCACGCATGTACCTTGTGAGACGGCACCAACCGTATGCCTTTCCTGTGTACGTATATCATGTGCATGTATACCATTGGCGTTTGAAGGAGGTGTATATGTTTCTCTGTTGGTGTCATTCTCTGGCCGTGTACTGTCATTGCGCCCATGGGATTCCCCACCATCCACCCCACAAACACACTCTCGCTCCGCCCCACACACATCACTCACCAGCTCATGCATCAGTGCACGGGCATACTCATCATGTCTCAGTGGCAGTGGTGGCGCAACAACACCGTATGCGTTTGCCGCAATGTCTGGCAGAGATCGCAATGCAATGGCTATCGCCTGAGCGCTGGACGAGGGTTTACGGTTACGATTATTCTGTGCATGTACAGACATGTGTTCACCTCCATTATTGTGTGTATCAGTATCGCCAGGCTGTTTTGCGTACACGCGTGTCGTAGATGTTACTTCTAAGTTTATGCGAGTGTGTCCCTCTGGTTTATGTGAGATATGACCTTGACTTTCCGATCGCCACATCGTACGTATACAGCCTGATGCGAACAGTTCCATCAACACATCAACCACAGCACCTTGTACATCGACATCCCTTGTGTGTCTAAGCATAGCGCTGAGAGTGTTGAACACACACGTGGCCAGAGACACGTGCGTGCGGTGCAAAAAGAACGGATCGTACAGCCGCTTCTTTTCCGCCTGTGTGAAGCAAGCGAGCCAATCCACACCCACGCATGTGATAATAGCCTGTGGGGGTGGAGAGGGAAACGGTATGCCATTTTATAGAGAGAATAAGACATCAATATGTCAGTGAAAGTTGTCGCCCGTGAATTGTCAGATAGCCGCCCTCATCCGAAAATAGTGTGAAGCAAACTATGAGACTACTCAAATCCTATGCGTGCATCCAATCTGTTGAAACGATCATGTGCGCTTGGTTTTCTGCATTTCAGCAACATAACTGAAGAGCCCACATATGGACTTGTTAAAAAGAAACTATCAACGCTAGAGGTTACAAAGAACAGACAGCCACACGATGCGATTGTCAACGTGTGGCGTAGCCCACAACTGGCGCCGTCCGCTTGGTGTATTCCGATAAGAGATTATCAGGAAACGGTCGTGTGCTAAAAACAGCTATCGAAGAACACACAACGCTGGATTACTACCGATTGGATCTTTAAACTAAGTGCTATGATTTCACGGTGATCAAGCTATCCTCTTGTGATATAAACTGAACATGCGCAAATATAGTCTGATGTGCAATTTGTAATATACAATAATGAATTGCGTATAGATCGTATTTACATTCAATCAAACACTTCGATGAAATTACTTCTTTATATGAGACTAGGATTCAGTACAAAACCAAGAGCACACGAGTGATATCTTGTAACTTTATATATGCTTTTAGCGATGTTCGATGGACTGCCAAGCTTAGAGTTTGTTGACAATAGTTCTGAAACTAGGTCAAACTCGGATACTAACATTATGTACTGAATAAGCAGGCGATGGGACAAGGATTCGTAAACGATACATATTAAGACTCCGATGTTATATCTACTCATCGGATGCAAAGTTCTAACACAAAATCACAGAGTAATCATATTCTTCACTTTCGTGTCGCTATGAACGCTATTGCACAGTATCCACACTGCACACTAATTCAGTGTATTTAGATTGCGTACACAGGCACTTACCTGTACGAGTCGGCGGAACTGCGCTTGGCCAGGGTTGGTATACACAAGGGTATTGGACCATCGCAGGCGATCATCATCAGATAGATCACAAATCCACGAGGCTGCCTTAGACTGGCTTAACCCACTAAGGTCTACATCATCGTGAGATGTAGATACTTCTAATGGTGCTGTTTGAACACTCAAATCTTTCTGATGTGATTTTAACGGGATGTTCTTTTTCGATGATGTTGGTTTAATCAGTAGCAGAGTATCTGCCAGGATATACTTTACTTGTGATGCGCTTTCCGCTTTGTTTATTGAGCTCACGCACGCGTCGATGTGTGTTCGCAGAACACAGATAGTAGCTATAATTTCAGGCATCTTGGCACAGTGTATTACAATATTTGTAACCGGTTTAAAGATTGAACTACATATGACAGTACACAGTGTATACGACAACAATAATCATTGGAAGGTTCCAGCTATTGGTCAATCAGCGTGTCAGTACTTGTATACTATAGTGCATTTGTGGCTTTGGTCGACGTACATAGGCACATAAATACTCGCGCAAATGACTTCCGATACTGAAAGTTTTATACGCTAGGCAATGTACTCTCGGAAATGAATACACTATCACCCACACATGTAACTATATAGTAGATATGTGAAGACATGCAGTCAATCCTCCTGAATACACACGTAACTGTATAGAAATACAAGCATTTACATTGTTACATATTAAATGGTAGTAGGGTACTCTCGCAATATTTAGTGAGAAACCCAAGCTGATTACAGACTGTATTCCATTTTGTTGAAATTAACATTTGCTAGTGCTTTTGGGAAAGCAAAATCACGCGCCAAAATACAAAATACAAAAAAAAAGATCACACACATACATAAAACCCAGGGGCCAGACGGCCCCTGGCCCCTCCCTCCTGCTGCTGAGGCCTGAGGCCCTGAGTGCTTGATCCCTGGTGGGGCCCTGTGTATTTGACTGTAAATAAATATTTGATGATTTTATTTTTTTTCTATAAAAAATAAAAGTAGTATTATATTTAGAGGGGGTTTTTATACAATATTTATAAAAGTATTTTTATAATTTCCATTTTCCCGCCAATAACATAAGCTGCTGACGAACCACAGTCGGCCCACAGGCCACAGTCACAGAGTCACAGTCTCACAGACCCACAACCGCAGCATACAGGCGACAGCCGCAGAGACTAAATACACACCCACACTATCACAGTCACACAGCCGCTCACGGCTCACAGCCTCACAGTCACAGCGACACAGCACCCACAACTTCACTATATATTCTGAAGTTTGGGGGTTTTTTTAAGAAAAACACATTTTTTTTATAATATAAGAACGTGTAAGGGTGCACATTTTTAATGTGATGTTATAAACGAATGGCTACGTGTGATATCTGCGAAAGACATATAGTGACTACACACGATAGTAACGAACTATTGCATGTATATCGTATGATAGGCAAACTAAATAGAGCAAGGGTTATGGCTGTACTCGCACTATTTTGAACATCATGGATAGTGGATGTGTTATGCTGGTGTGAGAGTGGGTCGTGATAAGTTGTACGCTTATGTTTCATACTTCTGGAGTCAACGCTGTAGTACATTACGTAGGCGCGACTGAAGAAACGTCATACGTACATGGAAAGACATCAGAATCACATGCATGCGTTTAGTTTTGGAAGGGCAGGGGAAAATCACGGCAATAGATACTATATGACAAACAATATATGCGATAAGACAACACTCGACAGCATACCTAGGAAGGTGCAGAACGTATATCTCAAACCTGATTCTCTAATCGTATATTAATTGCCGCTATAGGTATGAACGCTGAGACAATGCGTCTACGAGTGGTTAGTTATACGTAGAAATGCTGGTAGTAGTTGTGTGATAAAGTGTGTGCGTTGTTTGTGTTAATGACTATGAAAATGATGTGTGTTGAATCAAAAGTATTTAAGTATTCAATGAGAAACGTTGGTTCGAGGGTCAACTTTTTCATAGCATGATCAGTATTTTTCGTATTGGTGGTTCCATACACTGACGTCTTCTGTTTGTGTATGTTTTAGAGCAACGCCATACACATTGATGACTGCCTCTGCAGACTTGATGCAAAGTCCTGTTAACATATCTAATCTATTCATATTCAAGTATTCTGAAGTCCTTATTTCTGGATACACACGTGTGGTCATTAGTATACGAGGCTGAGACACTAATTAATCCTATGCTGAATACATAATTCTGTATGCGTGCTCATCCATTCCTGGTTACATATAATAGTCAACTGCCCGCGTGTGTTTGCTTAGAATTTTTTTTGTTCATGACATGTATCAGTTCTTTGCTAGAACCTTTTTTTCGTGTGTGCTCATACTTTCCAACATATTTGTTCAGCTAAATATAGCCGCATGTGTGATCATTAGAGATTTATATTGAACACCCAACAGCCACGAAAATGTGTCTCTATGTCCGAGAGATAAACTTTTGGTCGGTATTGATTCAGCGTTTAGTCCAATATGAACGTTTGTACATTTACTTGCAACAGATTTATATTTATATACCGTATGTGCAACGTTGTTCGCTGACACTCAACGTGTATACGCCAGAACTTGGCTATACATATACTTAAAATTAGTTAATTCAATTACATGAGTTTTATGTGCATACTCGTGATGGTCAGTTTTATGCCATTTATGGCCATCACTCGGACTATATCCTTTCGTGTATATGCGCTTCCTTCTAATTCGAATATATTATTATGTACGATAGCATTCAGACGACATGCATCTATGTGGGTGTGGTGGTCACGTAGTTTCTAATCATTTGAATGTGATCATTCCAAACATAGTATAGTTATGCAATAGCTACGAAAATGTCGGATGGCTGTCGGATGGCTATCTTATATATAAAAAATTATATTCATTACGGTATAGCTATACACATACATATCTAAATATACGCACTTCATATCATATCTATATATGCGCAACTTTCTCGATTTACGTATTCTTAATTTTACGATAGCATTCGGGCGGCTCGTAACTCTGGCTGCGTACTTGGCCATGTGTTGTCTATTCAACAAAACACAGTTGCGATCATATGTGCTCATGTATGCAACGTATAGATGTACATTCACATATATTGTATATATATATTTGTCTGGATTGTCTTGCACATGTAGTGACAGTATGTCTCAACATTGATGTATAACTCATATTGTTAGACAAATTCTTACGGCAAGTACACGAATACATGCATGCAGCCGTACAGCATTTGTGCATCGAGTCCGAAAGAGTTGTATTTAAAGCCCAAATGAGAACTCAAAAGCTATCATATTCGACAGTGCTCCGCCTCTACTCGGGCATGTATATGTGTCCGTGTACCGTTATCCGTGCATCTTCTTTTCACATACTTCGTTTGAATTTGTTGATAGACTCATCACTTATATATATATATATATATATATATATCAATATATGTATATGTATATATATATATATATATTAATATATATATATATATATATATATATATTTGCATATATACACAAATATTATTTATATATCTATATATATATATATATATATATATAGTCCTGTTGTGATAAAATAGACTATATTGGTATATATCGACTTACACGTTGTGATTTATTACTTCAGCGGATACTACCATGCCTGGCGTGTATCAAATTCTTTATTCGTTTCTGCACATTTCATTTACAATAATTCATCCTGTGGTTTCTGCCAGGTACCATCTACAGTTTAGTGGAGATGGCCAATAATTCAGGACACAATGGTGTCGTACCTGGGTCTGTCAAATCTGAACCTGTCGAGACACAATTTATGCTCGGCGACAATGCCGTGAGCCACTATGTGTGCTGGTGGAAGGACTGCCTGCGCATATTCATGACTTCCGAGGATTTAGTAGGGCACGTACAGGGACATGCAGGGAAGTGGCCGTATGTGTGCCACTGGCAAGAGTGCGATGCCAACTATGGGAATATGAGATCACTGGAAGCACACATCATCTTCCGACACACAAACAACACGCAGGCATTGCCGAGCGCTTTCCCAGCCGCATTCCCTCGCGCATATCCATGTCCGGAGTGTGATGGGATCTTCCCCAATCAGATTGCGCTCACCAAGCACGCGCAGTTGCACAAGCTGGTGAAGGTAGAGGTACAGCACCACGATCCTGTGGATATGTACTCACGACGCATGCCTGTTGTCAATGATAACACGCGTGAAGGCACGCGATACACGACGAATTGGTTAGATCATTCGCTCGAGGGTGGAGAGGGATATTCTGACAGCGAGGATGAAGATGCGACGCGGACTAAGGCTACAGTGGTAAAGGAAGTGACTTCGAATACGAGTAAGAAGTCACGGAGGAATGGTCAATACGCAGAAGTAGCGAGTATGAATGGAGCAGGTGCCAATGCACATCACAAAAAGTCTAAGAAATCTCATGAAGTGGTAGATAAAGATCATCAACCATCCACGAAGAGTGCTAGTAGTGCGATTACTAGTACGGGCACAAGTAAGAAGGTCCGCAGAGAGAAGGATCAGGCTGAGCATCAGCAAGTGGTACGTCACACTGCAGTGCACAAGTGCATAACGTGTTGGTCCGAATTCCCAAGTGAACAATATCTGAAGCTGCACATACGGGGAATGCACAAGAAGTCGGATAAGCTTTATCCCTGCACATACGAACATTGCACTATGGGCTTCAATCAGTCTTCGAAGCTAATACCCCATTTGGGTTTGCACGATGCGAAACTTATAGATGAGTTCGGAAAACGCATAGGAGCAGAGCAGAGCAGCACTAATGTGTCGAAGACTAACACTATCAGAAAACCGGCGAGGGAGGGTAGGACTAAACGTTCGAAAACAAGCACAGATAGCACGGCTATTGCGCGTAAGAGTAAGAAGGCGAAGGCTTTGCCACGAGAATACGACGGTTACGATTCAGATCCGCCGGAGTTATGTATGTGTGAAATTAAAGGGTGCTGCAAAACGTTTAAAACGGAAAAGGGTCTCCAGATCCATTACGGTATGGTGCATGGAGGGATGCGCACTATTACTACACAGGGACACACACGTAAGAGTGTACGCACTACAAAGCCAGCCAAATCAACTCCACAATGCATTGAAGCGTATGAACCACCGGGGAGTGAAGATAGATACCCCTCCGATATTCAGACGAATATACCCAGTCGGAGAGATAGGAAGATTGCTTTGGAGAAGCAAGCGCAAATAGGGCGTGAGGACGAGAGAGGGCAATTTAGTAAACATTTAGTCACCGCACCACGTGTAGGCAAGCAGCCGCAGGATAGCTCGAAGAAGGACGGTGGTAGGGAACAGAGAGAAGTAAGCACATATGTAAACAAAATACCTGAACACATCTGCGAAGAATGTGGCGAGGCATTCTACAAGGACGACATCCTGCGAATGCACATGCGCATGCATCTAAAGGACACTAAGCTGTACGAGTGTCTGTACAAAGCTGACGGGTGCACCCACTCTTATGACACATCCAAGGAGCTCTTTCGACATCTCGCCACACACTGCCCAGAGCAGATCATTGACATAAGTTCAGACAGTGACTCTTCTCCGCGCCTCATAGCCCGCACAACGCAGACTCCTGGTTCTAAGAAGTCTCGAAATAGTCAAAGAGCAATAGCAAGGAGGAAGGCAACAAGCTCTAGTGCGAACGACATAGCTTCTGCGGGCCAGCGAAGCTATCGAGGACGCAATCGTTGAGTGCATCAACACGTCGACGAAGGAGAGGTAGAAAGTGGAAGCGAATCGCGGGCTTCACGGTTCGAGGTTTTGCAGATGAAATACACTATACTCGAAACTTGAGCATGGCAGACGTCATAGAACGCAGCCGTTTATTTTGAGAAGTAGTCATGCCTAATTCATTTATAGTGGTAGAACTACCACCACAGAGTGGTCCTTTGTGATCTCAGCAGCGAAAATGACCTCTACATACCAACCGATACCATATGTCAGCAGGTAGTTGGCTCACATCTAAGGGCACTCAATTCAATGATGGTATAATCGCGGAGTAGATATGGTGTATGTACATTTATTGTGAGACGTCTACTACTACTGGCAGTAACTACCTGGTACAAAAGTTCATTTGCACTGGGCCTGGGCCACCATACCTTGGCGATTCAACGGAACATTAACTACCATTGTCGCATGGGGTTGGCTCAAAAACTTGTTTCTCTCAGAGATATCCATTGAATGGTGTTGCGCATGCACACGTGAACCCACTGGTCGATAGATCGTCGTTGGATGTGGGCGAGCACTCTCCGTCGTCGAAACATTAATTAGCATCCGAAAGGCAAACTAGAACTATGCAGCCCTACATACCTATTGTTTCAGCGAAGCATAAAAAATCATAAGGGCTGCTTAAACAGATTTCGATACCACAGGCACTGAGGTCGCAAACTCAGAAAATGCTGACTTAGATAGATGGAATCATACCAGATTTTGTATTTGTGACCTGTAGGGATAGTCCTATCCAGCATAGCTGGGCAAAAGCAGGTGTTCGTGCACAGACCTGGCTTACGCAATAGGTTTTCACAGTGGTGACCAACCAGGAAGAATAAGCAGGTACTTCAATTGGGTTGCTATCTTGATTGACAATTAGCGAGCACACACTGTCTGCTGATTTAGATACCCTCGACGCATACGTCAACAGAGCCAGGAATTTAGAGGTAGAAAGAAAGTATATCACTCTAACTTAGTGCATTGCGAATATGGCAATTCGTCACCTGAAACACTATCACTACTTCAACATAAGGCTGGTAGGCGACTGGGCGCGCGGTGCGACACTACAGCGAGTAGGATATAAATATCATATAAGTAGCCGTAGGGAACATTTCAGACAATAAATATTTGCAACTGTCCTTATACTCGAGTCGCGACTGTTCGACTTAGCGCCGCCTAATTCATTTTATCGATTTTATCACTCTATATTTACTCTCTGAGTGAGTGAGAGAGTAGAGAGGGTCATAAAAAAATAACCAAAATAAACAACCCGTTAATTTTATATACTGTATGTACATACTTTAGCGTATGAAGAAAAAAATGTGTTATATACAGTATATACGTTTATATATGAAACGTTAAATACCGTTGCTAAGGTGTTGAAGGTCAGAAGGTGAACAGCTGAACTATGCGGTATTGTTTCAAAAAAAAGAACAGTAAAAAGAATATTCTCCCGCGCACTTCTCGAGTTCTCGCTCTCACTACTGAGAGAGAGCTTTTACAATAGCAGTATTCGCCAAAATCGGGTTTCAAATTCTCAACGTCTACATACATATCTAGACCGATGCATAGAAGGACTAAAGTAAAGTACATCCAGAGAAGTAGTACCACTATGTACAAACATGATATTGGGTCTAATTGAACGTAGGTTACGCTGGCCATCGCCGGTTGTGGGCGAAGTGGTATACAAGGTGCTGATGCCGGTATTTTTTATTGAACACGTCTGCGGCGTATTTTACCTGACCGAGAGGAACCCGAGTTGGTATTTCCCGTTGTTTTTAGTGGCCATTTTAGAAGACATATGTGTGTGTTACCTTCTGGCCTTCTGTTTGAGTTTTCCTCTAAAACATATACATAGCGCTGCAAGGGTTTACAACACTTTTAGTCTATGCGTGAGCATATTTCCCATCACGTTCATAACAATGGGTAGTGCTTTACTCGATAATTTGGCGGGTGTTCGTCTCACACGTCTTCATATGACTGAAATATGGTCTAATGGAGCTCTAAGAGTTCTGGACATGGCATCCGACTTGGATTTGCCTAATTCGTACCGTTATGGGTTTTTATTAGGCATCGGCCTTACACTGGTATGTATCGTAACGACAGTGTCGAATAGTTCTTTAAAACGCAATAGATCGATCTTCATTACGAGTAACAATAGTATAATATGCCTTATGATGATCGCTTTTGTGCTATTTGACTATGGCTGTAAGGATATCATTGAATCAATACCTGCCTACAGTTCTCGGTATGGCAGTAGTGCAGTGCATGTGGTGGACAATACAATTTTGAGCTCTGTCTTTGTACCATTTAAATGGGGTAGGAGCACACGGCTTGAAATTTTGAAGATTGCAAGTGACAAACAGCCCGTTGCATATAAAAGCTTGTTATCGGCACTCGAGAGCTCGTCGGTGTTGGGCACAGGCAGTTGTCTGGATAGGATGGTGCACGGATATATGGGAAAGAAAGTCTTATCCATGAGAAACGAGGATATTAGGCCTAATGTTATCGTGTTTACCATCGAAACTATGCGAGCATACGAAAATTCCGGTCTACGCGTGCCTATGTATAATGGAACGACGGTCAGTCTCACACCAAACCTGGATCGACTACGATCAAGAGGCGCCGACTGGCGCAATTTCTACACAGTCAATGTGAACTCACCAGGTGCGTATTATGCACAGGAACATGGGCACTATAATGATGGGGGTGGGCACACTTACGATGAACGTTTGCATGGGTATACAGAAGTGTTGGATAATATGGGCTATGAAATGTACAGACTCACTCCTGATGGATTCGCCTCTAGTCCCGGGTATCAAAAAGTACCTTATCCGAACAAGGTAACTGCCTATCTCGGGGAATGGGGTGGCTGGTTCACGTCGAAAGATATACTACTGAAGCACCCAATGGTGAAAGCAATAAGCAAGCACAAAAAAAAACACGGAGACGATCCTTATTATTTGGAAGTACGCACACCAGGGGGAACGCATATAATGTGGCAGTTATTTGAAGACTCTGAGAAGGAGTTCAGTGAGGAGTTCACAGCTGGCTTGGAACAGCTCAGAGAAAAAGCTATGAACGAAGTATTCCCAACTGCTGACGGTGTTCACCACAAAGATTACTACAAAGTGGAAGACAAAAACGAGCTTTACAGAGATATGCTGAAAACATACTGGCTAGCAGATCAGTTCATAGGCAAAACGCTGGACGATCTGAGAGCGAAAGGTCTCGCAAAGAACACTCTGGTGATTGTGCAAGGTGACCATGGTCACGGCCTTGAACACGGCGTCGCTACTGTCCCTATGCGGGAACAATACCATGTACCATTCGTGGTCAGTGATGTGGACGATGATGTCATACACTCATCAACGCGAAACATTACCAATAAAGAGGTATCCAGTAACCTGGATTTTGGAGCAACACTACTCGATTTGTTGAACGCGCCAGGCTATGTCACCGATGGAATAGGTCACTCCCTAAATCGAAAGATGAACTCGAAAGGAAACAAGCGTCACATTGTGTCTCGCCATGGAGGAGAGTGGATTGTGCGCAACCAAACACACACAATGAACTTCTACCCCAGCGGCAGTTTGGTGGATATAAAGGTGTGGGATACGAGTATAGATCCTTATCAGCAATACGCACCTCACGTGTATAGTGTACCGAATACGGATGATATTCATCTGCACTGGCTTCATACATACAGGGAGATGAGTCTTCTGTGGGAGAAGTCCATTGAAAGCTGTGGACAGCATTTCAATCAGACACCCACAGTTCAATGAGCTAGGAGGGCTCGCTCACCAAGTATTCATCACATCACTAAGGGCATCAATAGGCACCGCAAATAAGTCATAAGCATCTTGATTCACGCGTACGTGCAGTGAACCGTCGAAAGCAAAAACCCCATATCAGGGAGGAGCTCTGAGCCACAACCATCGTAGTTTATTCGTACAATATCAGTAGGTGAACTCACATCCGGATCATAATACACACAAGCAGTGGGTTATGCACATACGCTGCCTGAACTTTCATTTTTCAAGTTGTGTGGAAGCGAGCGCATAGTATGCATATATATGTA